AATATCCACCCATAGCCACACCCTTGGAAGTGACAATTAATTCATTCGAAGATGATTTCTCCGGCGCATTTATTGGCAAGGTTTATGCCACCGACCAGGACAAGTACGACGAGCTGAACTTTAGCTTGATGTCCGGTCCCGAGGATATGTATCAGAATGCCAAGTTGTTTAACATTTCCACAAAATCGGGAAAAATCTATGCCATATCCAACCTGGACATTGGTCTCTACAAACTGAATATCTCCGTGTCTGATGGCAAATACCAAGTCTTCACGTTAGTCAAGATCAATGTGGAACTAGTCACAAACGACATGCTAAAGGAGTCGGTTGTGATCCGTTTTAGCAGGGTTTCAGCCTCTGAATTCTTGCTCAGCCACAGGAAGACCTTTATGCGCTCCATTAGGAATATCATGCGATGTCGCCAAAAGGATGTGATTTTAATCACGCTGCAAACGGAGGCGCTCAAAAACTCTCCAACTGCCACGCGACATGCCAGATCACTCGACTCCAATTTAAATGTGGTGTTTGCAGTCCGAAAGCAGCAGATTATACCCGATTCCGATGAGTTCTTTACCAGCGATGAAATCCGTCAGACCTTGATAGACAAAAAGAATGAGATTGAAAACGAAACCAATTTGGTGGTCGAGGAAATACTTCCATCCAGCTGTCAGAGCAAGCAAAACGCATGCGTTCATGGGGAATGCAAGCAAATATTGAAGATTCTAAAGAAGAACGTGACCACCACGTTTACGGATGTCATAAGCTTTGCAGCTCCCTCGTACAGCCAGGTCAACAGATGCGTCTGCCGGCCAGGATTCGATGGTAGGCATTGCAATGAGACGGTAAATGCCTGCTCCTCGGATCCCTGCTCGCCGCAAAGGATTTGCCTGCCTTCTGGTTCCGTTCTGGGTTACCAGTGCGTCTGTCCCAAGGGATTTTCGGGTACCTACTGCGAGAGAAAGTCAACCAAGTGCAACAATGAATCCTGTGATCTCGGCCTCTTCACGGCCGTTTCCTTTGGCGGCAAGAGCTATGCCCATTACAAGATCAACAAAATGAAGGCAAAATTCGCTCTGGAAAATGAATTTTCGTATTCCCTGCAAATAAGAACCGTGCAGCAAACAGGAACTCTTCTGTACGCCAGCGGCAAGGTGGATTACAACATACTGGAGATTATAAATGGGGCTGTGCAGTACAGATTCGATCTGGGCTCCGGCGAGGGCGTCATAAGCGTCTCGAGCATTTACATCTCCGACGGAGAGTGGCACGTGATCAGTCTGGAGCGATCCCTCAACAGTGCCAAGCTGATGGTGGACAACAAGCATGTTTCGCATGGCAGCGCTCCGGGTGTGAACGGGATTCTGAACATACAGTCCAATGACATCTTCGTGGGCGCCGAGGTTCGGCCGCATCCCTCGATAATCGGCTATGAGGACATCCAACGCGGCTTCATCGGTTGCATGGCCAACATCAAAATAGCCAAGGAGTCGTTGCCGTTGTACATTTCCGGAGGCAGTACGATAGCTGCTCTGAAGAGATTCACGAATGTGGAGTTCAAGTGCGATCCTTCGAATGTGCTGGTTGTCTTGGGGATTTGCGGTTCACAGCCATGTGCCAACAGCGGAATCTGCAAGGAACTTGGGGCCACTGACTTTGAGTGTGCCTGCCAGCCTAGATATTCGGGCAAACAATGCGAGATTGATTTGGACCCTTGCTCCTCGGGACCTTGCCTGTTTGGAGGGCGGTGCGACTATCATGGACCCAACAACTACAGCTGCACGTGTCCGATTCACTTGTCTGGAAAGAGATGCGAATATGGCAAGTTCTGCACACCAAATCCCTGCAAGAACGGCGGTATTTGCGAGGAGGGCGATGGCATCTCGCACTGCATGTGCCGAGGCTACACCGGACCCACCTGCGAGATCGATGTGGATGAATGCGAGAACCAGCCCTGCGGCAATGGAGCCACTTGTATCAACGAGCCTGGCAGCTTCCGGTGCATTTGTCCCTCGTATCTCACAGGAGCCAGCTGCGGAGATCCCCTCTACTCGAATTCGATTTCCACAAAGTTGAAGAACTTTTCCATGGAACACATCAGCGGCATCATATCGGGCTTAGCCGTGGTGTTGGTGGTCATTAGTTGTGCCCTCTGCTGTGTGGTTATCAGAAGGAGTTCCTCCTCGAAGCGTAGGAATAGGCTCGAAAAAGACAAAAGTAAGCCGTCCTACAAGGAGGCGAATCTGAACTCTCTGGTCGACAAGGACAACTACTGCAAGCCCAACGTAAAGTTGAGCAATTTGGAAGTCAACCAGCGTCCCATTAGCTACACAGCAGCGCCAAATGATAACCACCTCTTCCTGAGCAATAGGAATTTTGTGAATAACTTGGACATACTTCGGAGTTACGGTTCGGCTGGCGATGAGCTGGAAAATGTGCCATTTGAGTATCAGAAGGTCAATCGAAATAAGCAGCACGTCAACATAAACACCTGTCATTCCGCTGCCGAGGCAGATAGCACCGCCTACAAACAGGAATGGTGTGAACAGATGCACCTGAGGACCTTTAGTGAAAATAAACTGAACAATGGTGAGTGTCCTAATTTAAACTTTAAAATCATTTTTAAAATAAAGCGGAATTTTCAGAACTCAAAAGGGACTTTGGACCATCTGTCAGTCGCTTCTCCACTGGTAAATTGATCCAAGTTGAAATGCCGAACGTGTGCCACTCTTCCACAGCGAATTTCGTTGACTATTCGGCTCTAGCCAATGGTCAGTACCATTGGGACTGCTCCGACTGGGTTCGCAAAAGCCATAATCCCTTGCCAGATATCACAGAAGTTCCCGGAGCCGAAATCGCCGACTCCTCAAGCTTACACAGCAACGATAGCAATGAGTCCAAGTCGAAGAAAGCCTTTTTCGTGCACAGTAAGTTTATAAAATTTGTTAAGTTGAGAGTTATGTTAAAGCTTGTACTCATTAGGGGAAGACGGAGGTGTTGATCCGACAAGGGATATTGCTGCACTGAATGAGGATATTGGATCGGAATATCTGGACTCGGAGGCAGAGAGCTGTTTGGAGCCGTTCATGTTGCCGATATCAAATAATCAGCCGCTTTCAAGACTGAGTTCTTTTAATAATATCGAGAATGAAGACTATAAATCAAATACAGGTAAATATAAATCTCTTTTTTGAATTATTAACAAAAGTTAACGAAAACAAGCAATTTAATTTAATTATTTATTATACAATTTTTTCATAAAATTATTTTAAATAGATAACTAAATAAAATAACGCTCTTAAAATATAATTAAAGCTCTTTAAGTCTAAGTTTTTTATTTTGGAATTAAATTAAAGTAACTCTTTAAGGGAACAACACATTGATTTTGTTTTAAAATTCCAGATTATTGATTAGCACAGTTTGAATAATTTAGTTTAGTATTTATTTAAACCTAAGACCTTATAAAAATAAGATTCCAAGCAACTTTTACTTGTCTTATTATTATAAAGTCTTGCTTAAAACAATCCAAACTTCTTAGTAAAATCATTTCCTTTGTAACTTTACTTATACATTTTTCATTTATAGTTTTAATATTTTTCTTAACTATCCCACACTAAACTGCTATCTGTGACTAATATACTTAACAACTTCATTTCATGCAATCAGTGCCTTTACCGTCGAAAGTTAGTCATTCGTGTAAGTTTTAAATTTACAATGAATATTATTAATTTCTTGTTCTTTATACTGTTCAAAAGATATTGACTTTGAATGACCGAAAATGTATTTTTTTTATTTAATATATAAGCAGCTAAACGGTTTAAATAATTATTCATAAATAATGAGTAGTTTTTCTCATCATCTTTTGTTAATAAAACCATGAAATATTTAACAAATTCCCTTTTTGATTTAATTAACAGGCAAAGTATATTTAAGACATCCTGATTCATATTTACCTACGATGCATTTTCCAAGTGAAACGGATGGGGAGAGCTCTATGACCGAGGGGCCGATTTCAAGGAAGGAAATGAAAACCAGAAGGACGATAAGTGGTAAGTTCAATAGGCATTTTTTAAGTGTAAGGATTGATAATCCAAATCTTGGTTTTGTTTTGTTGTTTTTTTCTCAGAAAATTCAGAGGAGGCATACCTATTTCCATGTGCTGTCGGAGAAATTGGCTCCAACAGCAATATTTCGGTTCGACTGTGTGAAATTGAAGATTCTGAGTTGGAGGAGTTTTTACCACAACAACCACAAACCAACAATTAAATGACATGCTAAATATATAAGAACTACATTTTACACAAATTATTTGATTTCGTTATATACTATTTTCCATAGGAAAACAAACTTTGGTTATATATTTTCAATAAAAAAATATATGACTATATTTTGAAGTGTTGAATAAGTAAAATATATGGAAGTCATTGATCATTGCAGGAAAATGCTGAATACTTGAGAAAACAAGGAAAATCTAAAGAAAATCATTCTGTGTACAATCGTTAATTATTTCTTAAAAATATTTAAAATTTACCCCTTTTTTTTACAGCTAAAGACTTGATCCTTAATGGCTTTGTCTTTTGCCAGAAGTGCAACGGTTTACAAATTTTTTTTCACAATTCGCACAGTCCATGACAAAATTATATAAAATATTATCAAGGTATATGCATCATTTTTTATTAAAGAAAACTATTTTTAATTAGGTTTAAATATAGATTAAAAAACATACATATGTATGTGAAAAATCAAAACTTAAAACCAGGTAACTCAGGTACTCTCCAGTGAGAATAATTTGCTTACACCTTGTGTCTGGCCCCCGACAGCGAACTGTTGTTGTTTTCCCTAGCTCCTCGTGTAATTTTTCGAAATTACCTCTGGATTTTAATATTTTTTTACGATTTAATAAATTATATTTGGCTGCAAAATCGATAAAAACCTTAATCCCAAAGCTCCTCTATATTCCCTCACTCATTTTTGTTTGATATAAAAATAAAAATACAAAAATCTTAAAGCCTTTAATTTATTTCTTTTTGCTAGCTTTGGCTAACCTTTGAGCTATAAATTTATTTCTCGATTTTTGTAGACTGTTAAATTTGCCAAACCATTTGGTAAACTTATCCATGATCTGAAATATATTAAAATAAATAAAAGTATAAAAAACACCAAAAACAACTCATACATACCTTCTGTTCTGGAGGAAATATGGGTGGATCATTTTTGGAGATAAAGCATTCCAAGAACTCGTGGGGGTCCAATGCCTCAGTTTGAAGCCGCATTTTACGCTGGACATTCAATGTCTCCCTTATATTCTCAGTAATCTCGCCAGAGGAATACGCTTGCAAGACTCTTGCCAGTGCGGAATATGCGTGTTCCTTCATATCATCTGGGGCGTTCTCGGTCATCAGTTCTAGCCACAGCAGGAAGCTGGTGCCATAGTCGCACTTTGGTATTAGCAAGACCTTTTGGAAGGCTTTTTTAATGCCTCCGGCAGCAGACCAGGGTGTATTGCTTGTGCCGATGAGCACAATTTTATCTTGTTTCTTTAAAGGCTTTAAAATTTTACTATTTATGGAGGTCCCGAGAAGTTTGGGCTTAATTTCCCGGGCTTCAGGTGGAACTCTCTTCCAAAACAAGCGATGCGCTTCCTCGAAATATATGATAGTGGGTTGAAAGGCCTTTGCTACTTTCAAGACAACATGCAGGAAATATTTTAAATCATCTGCAAATTTGTATGTCTTTTCCGGACTGAGATTCATAAAAACTGCGTCTTAAATAATATAATTTAAGTTGAGATACAAAATAAATAAAATAAAAATATGTAGTTACTTAATTCCGAGGCAATAATTTGACACAACAGTTTCTTTCCGCTTCTCAAAGGTCCGATCAATAAAATTGACTTTGGTTTGGGAATATCGAATTCGCCCATGCCCAACATAGACTCTTGAATGACCATTTTAATGTCACCTTTGGCTGGACCCAAAGTACTGAAAGTTTATAGTTTTAAATATAATTTAAAGTTATAAATAATAAAAAATACTTACGTCAAACTGTCTTCATCTCGCGTGTCATCTGACAGAAAGTTAAAGTCTGCAATAAATTCATCGAAATCTTTACGAGCAACATCTTCTATGATTCCTCCATCTTTTAACTCTTGGAACAGGGATTCCAGAGTCCTGTCGGCCGTCATATCCTTGGGCACTCTCTTTTTCTTCTTTTTTTTTTCTTTGGGATACTTGACCTTTTGCCGTTTGTATTTTTCATTTCTATCTTTGGCTAAAGCCTCTCGAAGTAGTTCATATTCTACCCTGAAATGCAACAAATAGAAATGGTATTAGATAATATAAATATTTAAACTAATCCCCTTTTTAACCTCATGTACTCGTCGACCAATCCTCTGACTTCCTGGTGTATTTTGGAAAGCTCCTCCTCTGTGACCCAATCTACGATTGGATCATGATTCTTGTTTAGGTATTCGTCAATATCCCTCCAGTCTTTGGCAAATGTTTGCATGGTTTCTTCAATATTTACTAGGTTTTTTGGGAAATATTTATAATTAGTAAGAAACTTAAAAAATTGTAGTTTATATCTATTGTGTTGTTAAACCCTACTTACTTATAGGCTGGCTCGCAGCCAACTCATAGCCCACATCTATAATTCCTTGGTCTCTTAGTTTCTTCCTGCGCTTGGCCTCCTTCATTTTGATCATTTTAAGCTTTGCCTTCTTTTTCTTTTTCTCCTGCTTTTCCTTATCCCTTTGCTTCTTTTTCTCTTCCTTGGTCATTGGCTTTTTTCCTAGAGTTTGCTGAAAATCTATAGGGTTCATTGTTTCGTCGATGACAACCAATACGGTTCCTTTTTTTACTGGTGGGGGATACGGATGAAAGTTTTCAGTCTTGTCATAGCTGAAAAAGCACAAATATTATTTGTTTTCTCGTAAAAAAAATACATACAATTCCTTAAACCAGGCTCGAATATGATCAGATATGTCTTCCATCATCCATGGACAACGGACTTGAAGGAGTCGCGTGCGCTCATCATTGATCAAATTAATAAAATCCTCATCCAGCTTCTTTTTAAGCATCTCTTTCTTGTACATATCCTGAATTTCATTTTCCTTTTGGTTAGGACGTTTCAGTTTTCTGACCTTTTTCATGCCGTATAATTCTTCCTTGAACCTCTTTTTTATTTTAACAATTTTTCTTGTCCTGTAGCCTCTCCACCAGGTTTGTATTTTGCAGGCAGCATTATTTCGCAGTCTATTTAGATTTTCTATATCTAAAAAAAGGATAATAATAAAAGAATATTATTATGTATGTGAATACCCGTAGAGAAAGTATAACTATAGTTACCCTCCGTTGCATCCCCCATATCATCCCTTCTTCTTAAGTCTTCACAGGACTCGTCGGGCTTGATGAAATCTGCTGAAAACATGGTCCTCTTCACAGGTATACTCATCGCCTGATCAGGCTTGAACGTAAATCTATAATTGATTTTCTTTCTTTGGTAAACCTTCATAAACTTCTTCTTGTCATACTTGAGGTTGGCCATATACACGCGTGCACTACGGGCCCTTTCGTGGGCCTGAATTAGCTTCACTGCCTCACTCATTGGCACCCAATCCTTGGCAGCCTTCTCCTCCCTTTCCTCATCATTCATATACAATGTATTCTCTGCTAGGATATTCTGAACATCCAAGGGCCTGCGGTATAGGAACTGTGGGGATCTCCATATAACCAGGTCGCGGGGCGTGAGCTTCCGAGCGATCAAAGCCTTGTCTATGTACACATATTCGCTTATCTCCAGCGCCTTCAGCTCCTCCTTAAGTTTCATTAACTGCTGGGTAGCACTCTCCACCAAAGTGCGTACCACCGCTCGTTTTTGCACTTGGAACGTGTTGTGGTAAATAAAGGTTAATTTATTAACCAACTCTACGTACAGAACGTACAGCTCCGAGAATATTTTAAATGATACGGGCTTCTCCGGCGGTTCAATTTTCTTCAGGCGATTCTGTTTCTTGAGAAGCTGCGAAATTTCCTTTCGGGTAGAGACCCAGTACTTGTGATTTAAGTCGAAAGACATTTTAGATTTTCGTTCGTATGTTTGTGTGTGTGCATTATAAATAAGTCTGACTGGGGTTATGAATATATATTGTGTTTATTTGTATCCTCTGTACACTGAATGAAAAATATAACGGCTACCTGATAATTCAAGGGCTGCTTAGTACAAATATACTTTTTGATTTTGTATAAATTTATCACTGTTTTTATTTCACTTAAAGCTAGATGATCAGGGAATCCGGAAGGGTACAACCACTGCCTCTTTGTGGTCGATCCGAATATGTGAAACACTGTCGAGGGCTTTCTCGGTAAAGAGTTTCATCTGCAATTAAAGCGGGACAAATAAAACGTTAATAGTTAGATTTTAAGTTGCTCTTGCATCTATTTGTTCTTCACTTACTTGAGCTGTGTCCTCCACAGAAAGCGGCTTAGACAAATAGAATTGGTGACTGGGCACATCTTTAAGAAGGCCTAAAATATACATAAAGTTATGGATTAAAATGTATTGCATTTAAGAGGAAATAAAGACGAACCTTTCATGGAGACACTCGGATGCTGAACGTTGTTCCACTGCTGATGCAGTCGCTGGGAGTACACTCTTATTCTGTCCTTGTACTCCTGGTGCTCCAAGCTGTGGCAATCCATGGCTCCAACGTTTATCATGTTTCTAAAAAGCATATAATATTTGTAATTAATTAAAGAGTTAAAATATTAAGTAGGGATGGGAGAGCCCTGCCCCTACCCCTTTCAAGTTACCAGGAGACACCATACACAGGGAGTACATACATTGCCGTATTCTGCACCAGTCTGGAGAGGGCGTTCTGGTCGTCCTTCTTGGGTAGCGAGTGGGCGTAATCGTTGCTAAGGCCATCGGAATTGCTCCTCCTGAGCGCAGGGCTGTGGTTCACCGGATCGACCAGAAGGTGTGTCCTCTCGTTCGGCTCATTGGGCTGCGGGGCGAAATGCGCAATACAAATTACTCTCAGCTGTCGGCGAACTGGGACCTGCCACCCACCTGAGCACCGGTGTCCTCGGTGCATTGCCAGCAGTTGCAGATGGAGGCGAAGTAGTTCCAGACGGAGTGAACATAATCCATTTTAAATGCAATTGTTCTTTATGCAAGTCGGTTGTTGATAATATATAAAGTAGTGATGGCAAAACATGTGCTATCGATATTATCGATGCTTGGTTCTTAACACACTACCACCTCTAATATAAACATATCGATCTATCGTTATATCGGTATATTTTTAAAACGTGTGCCCAAGCAGGAAACACCCACAAATTCCAGGCAACCGTTATCAAGGATATTAGAGTTCCTTTTTCCTTCTTCTTCTTCCTTTTCATGATGAACTAGTTTCGAATTCTATTCAAATAAGTATTCGTTATATTTTATATATACTGAAAAAATAAAATAAATCTAATTGATATACATTTATTTTTATTAGAAACTAAATAATTCTGAATAGAAATTTTGATTCATTGATTCATTCAGCCTTGATTTTATGCTGTAAATTTTACATTTACGTTGTTTTCAGGAACACTTCTTACGAATTTATGTAAGTATTTAATATTCTAAAGTTGTATCTAAGTAAACAAAACAACAGGTGAAATAGGACAACAAATATTTTGATAACGAAAATAGTATTAATTAAATTTATTTAGTTTTTTTACTAGTATTTCAAAAGGTCTTTGTTTACTTATTTTATGGATTGCAGCACTTGTGCTGCTTGCAAGGACTCAAGGCTTTATATGTGTTGTTCCTTGCAATCAAGTCATTAATTCCGCCGTGGCAATATAAAACGAGCACAGGGACAAATTATATGTACAATATTGATTCATGAAGGTATCACTCTTGCAGCCAACGGAAGATGGTTATCACGATTCCCTCCTTCGTGCCAATCAAATGAATTCGGCTGCACATTTTTAATTGTGTCGCGCGCGTCAAAGGACGAAGGAGCGGAAGACATCACCCCACGCATGGCACGCCCTTAAATCAACGATGCGGTTAACCATGATGGCGAAAGCAGCGAGGCGGAAACGCAAATTCATTGCCGAGGCTGCAAGACATGGGAAGCAAATGTACCAGTGCTGTCAGTGTTTCCTCTTCTCAAAAAGGACATGTTCGTTTTTCAATGACTTTGAAATTAGATTTTATTTAACTTGATTTGGAGATAAGATAAGACAAATAAGGCAAGATAATCAGCTTAATTTGAGGGAAATAATCTTTAAAGTCCAATAAATATCTTTGGGTTCAGAATTATTTCCTTAAATTGATAAAATAAAATAAAAAGTATACATTATCTAGTAAATCTTCCTTTTTGATTGCTTCTTGGCATCACTGATTTGTGCTGCTGGTGATTTCTCTCACCTTGTTCTGCTCCTTATGCTCCACCTTCCAATCCACCTCCCACTGGCATCGCATTCATCCATCCAGTCGAGCTGGGGCAGACGCACTCTCACACTCGCTTGAAACTTGTAACTTCATTTCACCGGCTACGCGCTTAGCTTTTGTTTCCGTTCCCTGACAGCGGAAGCCGGCACAGAAATTTCATAACTGCCACAAGGAGCAGCTTCACTCAAAATTCAATTACCCTTGCTCACGGTCCCAGAGGATATCGATGAGTACATCTAAAGACATATGCTTGTGGTTGGTTATCTGGAAATCAACGATTTCTATCCTACCCTAAAAGAGGGTTTAAATACAAAGTGAGTCATACTTAAAAAATGAAGATAAACTTACTTCGGGAAGCCGAAATTCGTATACCCTTGCAGTTTTCCATAGATTAACGAATCGAAAATTCATCATAACTAAGCCATAAAGGCATCAAATTCAATTCGGAAAGCTTTTCTATGCTAGTTTTTTGTAGGTTAACAAATCTGCATACTGGATTTAAGAATTTAGGAAATCAAAATTTTTGGTGATTTTTAAAGATTTTAATGATGTAACCCCTTATCAATTTTTGAAAAAATCGAAAAAAAAAAAAATTTTCTTTCGGACATGGCTAGAAAGATTTGCCTGTTGATGCTGATCAAGAATATATATGATTTATGGGGTCGGAAATGCCTGCTTCACTAATTAAAATCATAATACCCTTCAAGAAGAGGGAAAATTTGAATTTGAGTTTGATATACTTTGGTTAACAAAATAGTGGATTAAACCTTAAAACTAATATATGGATATAAGCTAGAACATACATTTAAAGCTTTATTTAAATAGCAGAAGAAGTAGCAATCAAAGTCAGCCTTGTAGCAACTTTAAAGTCACCCGCAAGCATCTGCTTACGTCCCATCATGCATTTATTTAATTTTATGGCATTTTGCTGTTCAATTTGTGCTAGCTCAATTGCTCTGAATCGGCTTCCCGCGCAGAGCACTGGGCGAAAAAAAAGAAACCTCAACCACATTAACAATTTAATGAACCCCCACGAAGCAGTTTGCCACTTGATTGCCTGCGGCCCGGCTCTAGTCCCGCCTGATTGGATTCAGCTGGTGTTTTATCTGGGCCTAAACAAGACTTGCAGCGCTAACGGCCGCACATTAGGCCACGCCCTCGGTCCAGGATCCTCCGCCTCATTGTTGCATCGACAAAGAAAACCCAATTTACATAGAATAGCTGCGGATTATCGGAGCAAGTCCCTTCAGGCCGCAGCCCAGCCGCAGGAGTGCGCCGGCAGCGTTTTTAATATGCAAAGCGGATACCATCCGGATGCAACATCGCCCACGTCCATCGCCCACTTTCACTTTGCCGGATAAACAGTGCGGCGCAAACTTACAGCAGAAAAAACAACATTTTTATGCACAACACTTGGCCTTTTCAGTGGATGGTCGAATCCTGCATCCTGCTGGTTCAATATGTATTTTCTGAGATGAGTTCTATATCGGGAATTTTCCTTTTCATCGAACTTCAATAACAACATTATTAAAAATCATATTTGGCAAGAGAAAAAAGATCTTTTCCCCATTTTAGCTTAAAGCTAAGTGTAAAGTTTTATTTTGGAATTCTTTTGTTGCTTAATAAAGATGAAAAACTTTTATAGAAGTTTTCTTGAAAATTAAAGGATAAAGGAAAAATCTAATGCTAACTTTTTTTATTAAGCTTTTTAGCAATCATATTTCAAATAATATTAAAATAATTATAGAGTCGTCAGTGTATGAAAATTACTGAAAATTAAATTAAAAATAAGTAAATTGTATCTTACATTTTTGCATTCCCTTTTTATTTATTTTTTAAAGTAAGCTTTGAATATTTCTTGGTGTATCCTGCATCTTGCATCTCCAGTAACTTCTTCGCCCGTTAACTTGATAGTTTGTGTTGACTTGGTTAGCTTTTGGCCATTACTTTTGAGCGAGGCTATCAAGTTTAACCTGCTTATGCGGCTATATTTAAGGTAATGATCAAATAAAATGGGTCAGAAAAAATATAAGGAGGTCTTGCACTAGTAGCATTTTTATTTGGTTTCTACCAGCAACAGTTAATAAACGAATAGGTTAAACATTTATGTACGTTTTATGCTGATAACAAATATCTTCATTGCTTTGTTTCCGTGGAAACAGAGACTCAGTTCTTAAAATACACATGATTCTAAGGAAACCATAAAAAATATATGAAAAATGAAATCAGTAAAATCCTGGAAATATGAGCTACCAAACTTTACCTCAGGTTTCAGTTGAATTGAAAAGATATCGATTCCTCGTAACTCGTACATGTGGACTAACCGTGTGTATTTTCCCATTTTCCCCCTTTAAGCTGTCATAAATCCCAGAAAAATCCATAAACTAGCTGTTCCAGCGGGTTTAAGCTGCCGGTGAACTGCATTGCCAGCGACATCTGCAAATGCGACAAATGTATTTGGAATGCAATTCAATTTCCTTTTTCGGTTCTCCCGCGTCCTTGGCAGTGCCTTCGAATGCTATTATTGTCGGATTGTTGGCCTTAATTTACTAAAAACTTTCCGACGAGCAATTTACCCTATTTCTGTGCCACATTTCACTTTGTCATGGCTTAATATCCAATGACACCGGGATATTGGCGGTGGATTAGATAGGTTCCTGCAATTGTCTCGATTTCCCACGTAAATCGATTCTGCAGGCTACCACCCTTCCACCTTTTAGACCATTAGCAAATATGTTAAAATTTATTTACACAGAGCTGGCAGGTAAATTACAGTATTGGATTAAATAGGAGAAGGGAGAGAGCTAAATTAATTTAAACGGGATAGAATGTAAATAAGAGCTGCCAGGGTGGCTTCTAAAAATAGTTTCAGAAAAGCAATATACTACTTGCTCCAGGTGTTAAATATATTAAACTAAAAGTAAATATCTCGTTTTAACATTATTATTAATCTGTAGCTTGTCTGAAGCCATTTCATGTATCCTAAACACTTAAGTAATAAAAAGAAAAGGGAAAGAAAGTTCTATATATAACTAAACTTTTTTCCAGAACTACTGCCGAAGGATTTAGCGAACAAAAAGGAAAACCACGTGTCAGGTCTAAGTCAAATTGCAAAGTGTTTGTTTTTTTGGGGCAGGTGAAAAGTAATTGAACTTGTTGCCAAACTTTGGCCATCAAACAAGCCGACAGCTGTTGACGGTTGGTCGTTCTTAGGTCTGCCGTCGCCTTCCGTTCTCCTCTCTCCTCCCCCCTCGTTGTCTCGTCACACGCTTCGTTTGCGCTTTGATGTATGCTATGATTTGTTTTATTGCCCCCGAACAATCTCCCCCTCCCTGATCCGGACTATAGTTGGGGAATTTTTGAGAAAACTTTTTCGGAGCAAGTTTTTGTTCACTCCCGCCCCCCTTGCATTATCTTAGGCCGGCGGTTAGTCTGGTCTGTTTGTTCAGTTCACCGCAAATTATTTGAATTCTCCTTGCACCCGGACCACTTGAGTTCCCCTCGATTAATCTTTGGGCCATCCGAGTTCGGGTCTTGTCCTTGCTTGTGGCCAGGCGAGGGGCTGTGTTTGCCCACAGTTTCAAAATAGATATTCTGGCACTCTACAAGCTTTTATAGTTTGGTTTGATAATGTATTCGGACTTACCTTCCTTTGCCCTGTGTTTGCATTACTTTTCGATTCGAATTTTTGGTCGAGTTGGGATCCTGGCGATGGGTTGTGTAAATATTTAATGGCTACGAATTGTTGTATAATGGGGATGTGAGGAGTTGG